ACCCCCTATCCCCCGAGGCTGACTGAGCCTTGGGGTGAGGGTGAGGCTATGTGTGTACCGGGTCCCCTTGATCAGCTTCCAGGATGGAGGGCAAGAAGGCTCATTCTTGGAAATAGGGGTTCCTGCCCTTGCTTCTTACATCGACATTTTTTTTGTGTATGATAAAATATGCATAACATAAAATTTACCATCTTAGCCATTTTTAAGTATGCAGTTCAGTGGCGTTAAGCTCATTCACATTGTTGGGCAACCATCACCACCATCCATCCCCAGAATCCTTTTCAACCTTGTAAAGCTGAGACTCTGTACCCATTAATCAGTAACTCCCTGCTCTCTCTCCACCAGCTCCTGGCAACTACCGCTCTATTTTTTGTTTCTGTGAGTTTGTCTACATCAAGTACCCTATATAAGTGGAATCACATACTATTTGTCTTCTTTTTGACCGGTTTGTTTCACTTAGCATAGTGTCCTCAGGATTCACCCATGTTGTAGCATGTGACAGAATTTCCTTCCTTTTTAAGGCTGAATAGTATTCCACTGTACGCATGACCACACTTTGTTTATCCATCTGTGGATGGATACTTGGGCTGCTTCCACCTTTTGAATGTTGTAAATAATGCTGCTGTGGACATGGGTGTTGCACTGACTTTTCTCTCCTTTTTCTGCAGCTCCTTTATGAGCAAGGTATCAGCCTGAGGGCCTCCTTCATCTTCCTCTCTGTCTGCAGTGCTTGGCATGTTGCTCGTACCTTCCTCCTGATGCTCCGGGGGCACATCCCCTACCCACTGCCCCCCAACTACAGCTATGGGTAAGGACTGTGATCTGGTAATTTCGGGCCAGAGCCCCTCAGGTGACCTGAGTTGGAAGCAGGGGGCAGGACAGACATGGTTGTAGTGGGGCAGAGGAAACCTGTCACAGAAGAGGAGGACTGGAACGGAGTGTATCGATTAGCTATTGCTGCATAACAAACAACTCCAAAACTCAGTGGCCTGAAACATTAAGCATTTATTATTTTTCACAAGTCTGTAGGTAGCTGGCTAGCTCAACTGATCGGGGACAGACTTGGGTGATCTTGACAGGGCTCGCTCATGTCTCTGATCATCTATCTGGTGTCCTAGCTGGGGGCTGGCTGGTCTGGATGATGGTCATTTGAGGTGGCAGGAGGTCTGGGTCATTTGGCTCTCACCCTCCAGAAGGCTAGCTTGGACTTGTTCCCATGGTGGTTTCAGGGTTTGAGAGAGTACAGAGGTGCCTAAGGTTTCTCAAAGCTGAGGGTTGGAATTGGTACAGCATCATGCCTGCTGCATCTCCTTGGCTGAAAGAGCTGACAAGGCTGCCCAGGTTCACGGGGTGGGGAATAGCCAGGGCTGCAGAACCATTGCACAGGGTGGGGAACAGAGGCAGTGAAGGAATGTGACCATTTTGCAGTCCGTCGCCACCGGCAGCAGAGGGAGGGCAGGCGTTTGCTGCTCACTTACTCTTTGCAGACCCACCTGCTCTCTGGTTTCGCCTTGTGATCATCCTCTCAGTTAGAGCCTCATCTCCGTTGTCCAAATGGGAAAACATAAGCTCAGAAGGGTTAAGTCTGAGCCACGTTGCCAGCTAGGAAGAGGCAGGGCTGGGACTTGAACCCAGGCCTGCCCTCTTCTTCCCACACTTCCCACACTTTGCTGCATAGGAGAATCACTAGGATCGCTTGGAGATCTTTGAAAAATACGGAAGCCTGGCTCCCACGCCCAGGCATCTGATTTCACCGGCCTGGGCTGTGACCTGAGCATCGGGGTTGGTAAAAGGTGACTCCACTGTGTCCTCTAGCCTGAGTGTCACGCTCCTGTCACTGTCCCTGGGCTGGGCTGATGGGGCTTCTGTTTCCACAGCCTGTGCCCTAGAACTAGTACCAGAGAGAAGAGGAAAGAAATGGCTGAGTCTGAAAAGCTGGATCTACAGACCAAGGGGTTCCTGTCACCAAAGGAAGGTAAGCCCCGCTGCGTAAGCCGTCCCCCCTCAGAGCCTGGCCTTCCCCTGTGGCTGACCTGGCTCCTCACCTCCTGAGCTCCTCCCTCCCCCAGGGACTGGGACTCAGGAAAGGCCAGGTGGAGACAGGACCTGTAGGATCTTCTCAACTCCCTCATTTTGATCGAGGGTCCAGAGAGGGGCAAGACTTTTGTGCCTTCTCTGTTTTCTGCCCCTCTTTCCTCTCTCATATCATCTCTCCTACCCCCAGAGTCAGTCTTCCATCATTGTCTTCCTTTCCTCCCAACTTCTCAGCTCCAAGTCTGGCTTATTTGTCCCCATTTCTGCAGGCCCCCGGGGCCTGCCCTCTCTCACTGTCCCATCTCCATGGCCGCTTCCTTTCCCTCCTCTATCGGTTTTGGGTCTTTGGTGCAAATGTCACCAACTGGCTAAGGCAGAAACAAGAACAGGATTCTGGGAAGCTCACGAAATCAAGGGGAAATGAGCTTGCCAGGCGCCAGGAAGCCCAGAACCAGGGGTCCCAGTCCGAGGAAGAATGATCGATGGGTCCACATGGGCTGAGGCACAGAACACTGGACTCATAGTCCCATTGGGACCATGGAGAGACGTCCAGAAGAAACCAGGATCCTGGGACCGAACCTAAGGGAGGGGATGCAGGGCAGCTGAAACAGCAGCTGTCCGCCACTAACCCTCTGCTCGCCTCTCCTGTTCTCCTCTCCTTGCCTTTCTTTTTACCTTCCTGGCTGAGAAGGAACGGGATAAAGTGTTAGTGCAAGAAGTGGCGGTGAAGCCAAGCTGTGAAAGACAGATGAGCTTTCAGCAGACGGAGAACACAGGGAGGGTCATGCACCGTGGCAGGGCCTGACGACAGGGCGGAGAGGTGGGGATGTGCAAGTTGTAGGCAGCTCGGAGCGCTCGCCTGCTGAGTTCTGGGAGCCCAGAACAGAAAGTGAACTTGGACCTCAGGCTGTCCCACTAGGGCCTCCACATTCTTGCCCATCCCAGTCCTCCACTAGCCTTGTAATTCATGCCCAGACCCTCCTTTCCCCAACAGAGATCCCAGGACCAGAGCAGCAGGAGGAGCCCCGTTCTTTCAAGAGCTGTGTTCTCTCCTGGCGCTATGCCTGGCACCTGGTGTGGCTGTCGGTGATACAGTTGTGGCACTACCTCTTCATCAGCACCCTCAACTCTCTGCTCACCACCTTGGCCGGTGATGACAGGAAACTGGGTAGGTGGCAGGGCTGGGAGGCAGCCCATCTGCACATCCCACTGGGGACTTGGAACCTCTGTGCTCCAGAGGCAGGTCTGAGCAAGGGTATGGGGAGGAGGGTCAGGCTGGGGAAGGGCAGGGTGAGAAGGGTCCTCTCCTGTAAGGAAATCCTGGAAGTGTCTTAACACCCAGCCCCCCTCTGTCCCCCGCAGTCAGCAGCTACACAAATGCGTTTGCCATCACTCAGTTCTTTGGAGTGCTGTGTGCCCCCTGGAACGGCCTGCTCATGGACCGGCTTAAACAGAAGTACCAGAGGGAAGCGGCCAAAACAGGTGAGCCCTGGTCTCCAGAGGATCAGGGAATCAAGAGGGGAGAGGTCTTCATTTACCTCCAGGCCCATCTTCTCTTTTGTTCTTAATCTTTTTGTACTTGTATCCATCCATCCATCCATCCATCCATCCATCCATCCATCCATCCATCCATCCACCCACCCACTCTCCCATTGGTCATCGAGTGCCAATCATGTGCCAGCCACAGTTCCAGATTTCAACAGTGGGCAAGACAGATATGACCTTGTTCTCAATCTAGAGGTTGGAGAAAGGTAGGGGCCGGCATCGCAGTCCATGAAGTAAACCCACAGGGGGCTCTGGGGACACGAAGAAGGGCACGTAACCTGGTCCGAGAGGGGATGGGACTGGTGTCAGGGAAGGCTTCCTGGAGGAAGTGGCATCTGAGCCGAGACCTGAAGGATGGGTAAGAAGTGAGGAGATGAAGAGGAGGGCCGTGGGAGAGTAGTTCAAGAATGCTGTGGGGTCAAGACAGTGAAGGAGGGAGCAAAACATTGAAGAATCCGGGGAATTCCAGAAAGCGATTCAGACTTGCCAGGACACAGAGCCCTGGGGAGTGGTGGGAAGGGCTGGAGAGAGAGAAATAAGAAGGGCAGGCCGCGTGCCATGCCAAGGAGCTTGGACGGGATCCTTGGGCGTGTTGGAGGAAAAGAGGAGCGCTGAGGCATTTCAACCTGTGGGGGTGGAGGGTGGGGAGGGGCTAAACTGGGGAGCAGTGTTTCTCCTACAGTTTCACCCACAGCCCTCCCCCACTTCCCAGCACTGCTCCGCCTGCCCCGCCAGATGGAGTCTTTGAAAGCCAATCTCACACATCAAATAATTCCATCGGTAAACACTTCAGTTAGTATCGCTATCAAATAAGGCCTCTTTTTACTTACACATTACTATAAATCATCACCCCTAAAACAACCCCAATAGTTTCTTGCTATCATCTAATACGCGCTTCTGTTCAGATTTCCCTAGTTGTTTCAAATAGGTCTTTTTACAGTTGGTTTGTTCAAATTAGGGTCCACACAGTGTATTTTTGTTTGGTGTACCTTTTTGGTCTTTTAAAATTCGTGTCCCTCTCTCGCTCCCCCCACCCCTTGTTGTTTATTTGTTGGAGAAACTGGGTCATTTGGCCTGTCAGATTTCCCAGTTTGGGATTTGGCATCCTTTCCCTGTCGTTGAAAAAAAATGTCTCTTTGATTGGCTATTTCCTGTAAAGAGGCAGCATGGAGACTTGGTGTAATATTTTCTGGTGAGACTGAGTCAGCGGTGGAGCTGAGGGCTCACTCAGCGGGCCCCTGGTGCCTACCGGTGTCACTGTTTTATGAAGTTAAAATTGATCAGTGGGTTCAGACATCGTCCGTCCGATGGCCCATTATAACGTTTCCCATCAGCTGCCTGCCTAATGATTTTAGCAACCATGGGTGATCAATGCCGGGACCCATTATCGTATTAGGGTTACAAAATGGTGATTTTCTATTTCTATCTTCCCTTCCGCTTTTAATAGCTAGAATTCCTCTAGAAAGAGAAACTTTCCCTTATGATCTACTTGTTATCCTGAAATAAATGCTTGGTTTTTCCTCTGTTTACATTTCAAAATAGTGAAGTTGCCGTAGCAACCTCTTGGGCGACTACCCCTCATTTGTCTTTAAAAGTTTCATTTTAAATATATTTGAATGTGTTTCAATCCATGTCTATCAAAATTCTTCTTGATGCTTAAATTGTCCCATCTTCGGCCATTGAGAATTTTACCCACCCAGTACCAGTAACCTTTAGATTAATCCTATCAGCTTTAGAGGGTGTCCTTACTTTCTGGCATAATCAGGTGTTCAGGTCCATTTCATCGGGTGTGTTTCCTGCACCAGACCTGAAACCAGCCATTTTCCAAGTAGCTCGGGCCCCTTTAATGGAAAATGGTATTTAAAGACTGTAACCTGGATGCTACTGTTTTAGTTATCCTGGGTTGTTATTGCTTTTAGGCCTCGGATAGAGGTAAGATAGATAGAATATTCTGGACAAAAAAAATACATCATGCCTGGCTGGGCGTGGTTCAGCGGTTGAGCGTCGACCTAGGATCCTAGGTGATCGGGGTTCGATTCCTGGTCAGGGCACATGCCCGGGTTGTGGGCTCGATCAATGACTCGCTCATTGATGTTTCCATCTCTCTCTCCCCCTCTCCTTTCCTCTCTCTGAAATCAATAAAGATATATTAAAAAAAAGAAAAAAAAAGAAAAAAAATACATCATGAATACCTAATTTTTAAATTATTATTGATTTTAGAGAGAGGGAAGGAGAGAGAGAGAGAGAGAAACATCAATGGGTTGCCTCCCGCACACACTCCGACCAGGGATTGAACCTGCAACCTGGGTATGTGCCTTGACCGGGAATTGAACCTACCACCTTTCAGTGTATGGGAAGACACGCCAACCAACTGAGCCACACTGGCCAGGGCATTAACACCTAATGTTGATATTTTAACTCAAATTTTACTTCCTTGATATTACATTTGTATATCTTTTCCCTTCCTCTGGAAATGATGATTTCTAACAATATTATCTATATACATATACTACATATATGTACTATATACTATATATATATAGTATTTAAAAATATACTTTATATATAATTACTGGTTTACCAATATCAATAATTTTTTAATTGTGATTTTTCAATTACAGTCAATATTTAATGTTATATTAGTTTCAGGTGTACAGCATAATCAATATTACTAATAATATAATTGCTGCAGGCTGTTGCTCCCCCCTTCCCTCCTTCCTTCCTTCTGTTCTTACCCCTACGCCCTCTCCCATGAGAGATGTACAGACAAATGACTGGGTGTTACAGGCCACCAACCTGATACCAAGTTATGTTCCTCGGTTTCATTTTGCTTCTGATTTTTTGGGGATTGCTTTGCTTGCTTCCTTCCTATTATTTTTATTTAAAAAACCTTTACATATCACACACTGAGACAAGATCTATTCAAAGACATTTGGTTTCCCTTTGTTCCCTGTACTCCATTCCTTCCCTTTTTGGTGATTATTTTTATTGCTTTTTCCTTAAAGAAAGACTGTGGACATATAATTTCTCTCTTTCTTACGTAATAGGCAGCACACTGCACAACCTGTTCTGCAGTTTTCTTTTTTTAAAAAATATATCTTTATTGATTTCAGAGAGAGGAAAGGAGAGGGAGAGAGAGATAGAAACACCAATGATGAGAGAGTCGCTGGAGATCGAGCCCTCAACCCGGGCATGTGCCCTGACCGGGAATCGAACCCTGATTTCCTGGATCCTAGGTCCACGCTCAACCGCTGAGCCACGCCCGGCCGGGCCGCAGTTTTCTTTTTGTGTAACTGTCTGTCGACCGAGCGTAAGTGAATCAAGAGACTTTTAGAATTAAATGACAAAGTTGTATTCAGGGGTCTTTTTTTTTTTTTTTTAAATCCTCACCTAAGGATATGTTTTTATTGACTTTAGAGAGAGAGGAAGGAAAAGAGAGAGCGAGAGAAAAACATCGATGGGTTGCCTCCCACATGGGCCCCGGGCAGAGACCGAACCCGAAACGTAGGTATGTGCCCTGACCGGGAATAGGACCCGAGACCTTTTGGTGTACAGGACGCCGCTCCAACCAACAGTGCCACCCGGCCAGGGCCTCTCCAAGGGTCTTAAGTGAGTGAACTCCAATTCTGGAAACACCAGGAGGCAATAGCCAAAGTGATCCAAAGAAGAAAAGGTTGAGCGTCTGTATGGCACAGGCCCATTCTTGAGAAGGGTCTGCCCTGCATTCCTCTTGGTCTGAGATGGTCTTCCAGACCTCGGGGGGTGCGGACACGTGAACACGCTTCCCTAAGTCCTGCAGAGGGTCGTCTGTAGGTTTATACGCACCCAGGCACTGATGCGCAAATGGGAAGTCCAGAAGTTTAAGTTCCCAGGCTAGCGTAAAATGAAATCGCTCCCCTCGCCTTTCAGCCCGCTCTGCTTTTTGTCAGCTTGACTATAGTGACTCCGTCGCGTCCTCCCTCCTGGCTCACCCCTGTCGCGCTCCGCAGGGACCTGCCCTCGCGCCCTGAGCCGCCGCCTGGTTCTCTGGTGCGAGGCTGCAGCGGAGCTGAGGCGCCAATCCCCTCCTGGCGGCTGTTTGGGTGGCTTCCAGTCTTTGGCTATTACCTGTAGCGCCACAGAGAATAACTGGCTTTGGGTTGGAGGGGCCGGAGCAGATGCCGAGCCCGGCCGGAGGCCATCGTAATAATCTGGAGCGAGTCTGTGGTGGCCTGCAACCAGCATGAGCCAGTGGGGAAGGGCAGGAGTGGGTACACTGGAATGGCGTTTAAGAGGTGGGTTACCCACGTTTATTGATGGGCTGGAGATGGGGACGTGGGAGAAGGTGGCTTCTGCCTGGGTGGCTGGGAGCTTGGTGGCTCCTCTTTTTCCCCCCATGTTCTTGCCCCCTCCCTGCCCGCCCCGGTGCCCCCTCCAGGCAGCCTCTCCTCTTCCCCCTTGGACCAGGTTCTTCGGCCTCAGTGGTGGCCCTTTCCTCAGCGGCGCCTTCCCTGGCCCTGACGTCTTTGCTGTGCCTGGGCTTTGCCCTCTGTGCCTCGGTCCCTGTGCTCCCCCTCCAGTACCTCACCTTCGTCCTGCAAGTGATCAGCCGCTCCTTCCTCTACGGGGGCAACGCTGCCTTCCTTACCATCGCGTAAGTGGGCTTGGGAAGCGTTACATAATGGGGGACGCACTGGGGCAAAAAGAAGTGCGCTGGAGGTGAGAAGTCAGGAGGTGAGCGCGGGCCTGGAGGTGGTCAGGGGAGGGAGACAGGGTCTGGGAGCAGGTGGAGGGGGTGACGCCCGGAGGTGGGGGCTGGTGGGAGAAATAGAGTGTTCATGGACTTGACATCAGCTCTCCCCTCTGCCTCCTCTGTCATCAGTCCAGCGAACTCCTCTTCATCCTGCAGAGCCCACTTCTGTTCCAACTCTGCCAGGAAAGAAAGTGTTTCTTTCTTTGTGCCCTTGGCACTCAGCCTAGTCTTGCCTCCTTGGTGCATGCATCGCCCGGCATAGAGTGATCTGCTGATGTGTCTGTCTTTTCCTTGAGAGCTCCCCAGGGCACAGCTCATATCTGGGTCCCTGCTATTTTCCCAGGGCCCGGCACAATGCCTTCCCTGTGTTCCCTGGTTTGAAAGGCTGAGCCAAGGCAGAAGGGGAAGGACTGCATGGGGTAGGTGGGTGAAGGCAGGCCTAGGACAGGGGAGTTGGGAGCAAGTGGCTGACAAAGGCCTACAGAGGCCAGACCCCTACCTAGGGGAGGGGCCCCCAAGCTCACCAGAACCCCCTCGTCTCTCCCCAGTTTCCCGTCGGAGCACTTTGGGAAGCTCTTTGGGCTGGTGATGGCCCTGTCAGCCATCGTGTCCCTGCTGCAGTTCCCCATCTTCACTCTCATCCAAGGCCCCCTCCAGAACGACCCCTTCTATGTGAGTACTTGGAGACATGGGGACAGGGGGTGGGGGTCCTGGCCTTAGACCAGCAAGGACATCCAGGCTGGGGCAACTCTGTGGGGCCCCAGCGGGGGCAACCCCAAACCTGGCAGCGGCCCGATCACTGCACAGCTCTGTGGTCCTCATTCAGAAGGATCAGCAAAGTGCAGGGCAGGAGTTCCAGTCCGTCACTGGGAGAAAAAAGGGCTGAACCCGCGACTGGGGAGAACTGCCAGGTTGACACTGGACACCCCTCACGTGACGGTCAGGGGACGTGTGTTCTAGCTGGGCCTCCACCCACCCTCCGCGTGACCTTGAGCAGATCACCGCAGGCTCTGGAGGCCTCTGTTTCTTCCCCCGTGAAATGGGCGTAAGATGCCCCCCCCACGGCAGAATGAAAAATAACCACTAGTCCTTCCTCGGGCACCCCGGGTCCGAGTGGAAAGCAGAAGATAAACCAGGCAGAATTCTGGTCCCTTGGAGGGCGATGGGTGCTGGGCGCCGGGGCTGCACCGCTCCTCACCGGCCTCC